ACATACATACATATATATGTGTACATATATATATATATATATTTATATATATATACACTTATAGGGCAAGACACAATCTGAAGAAATGCAGCACATATGCACATTTTCTTAGCACATTTGTTTGTATTGTAATAACCGTAAAAAAAAAAAAAAACAATCACTGCTACGTCCAACTGCTTTTATTAAAAATACGAACCCTTTTATCTGTGTCATTGTGCATCTCGTTGACCTTTTGAGTATATTCACTTTGCACAATCAGTCACAATTTCCATACAGTAAAGTTTAGAAGATCAGAGTAAAATATGGACTCTGGTCACCTTGCAATGTTGGGAAAAAGCTTCAGTTGCAGTATGCATTTGCTTAAAAATTTAGAGGTTTTTTTTCTCTCCTTATAGGTGAAAATGCTTACAGGTCAGGATGTCTCAACTCTCCACCTTAAGTAATTGTGACTACAGGGTGGCAGAGAAAAATAGAGAGAGCGTATGTTTTTGTTCTGTGTCAGAAAGGCGTTCTCCTGCCTCAGGATGTTGCCTTTAAAGCTGAAGAAGTGAGCTTCCTGTGGAGGAAGCGATCACAGAATAGACAAGGGCTGGGCGAGACACCGTGTTCCCAGCTTTCTTGAGCTCAGGTCACCCATTTGCAGAGAATAGGACCACACTTTTGGACTCAGTCTCATTCCCAGAGCTTTAATTGGTGAGGGAAACCATAGATTGATTTTCTTTCTGCTTCTGCTGGCATCAGACTATCGGTTAGAACTCACACCGTCTGCTTTGCAGGTTTTATTTTCATTGATGGATCCAAGATGCTTTGAAGATCCGTTCTCCATTCCTGGATGGATTTATGAATTCTACAAGATGAATGCATTAAGTTCCCATTTTCCTTGAGTGAGTAAATGGTTACCTTAGAGCTAAGGCCTCATCTCATAGGTCCTATGTCAGATGCTTAACCAACAGAGACATGTCCAATGACACTTGCAACCTGCCCCTGGACACCGACATCTTTGGACTGACCTGTGTCTATGGTGTCATTTTTTCCTTGGGCCTGCCCAGTAACCTGTTGTCTCTATGGGGCTTGTACCACCTTGGTCGCTCAGGTGCGGGAGGCTGTCAGCTCGTCTACATCCTCAACCTGCTGCTGTCAGACCTTCTCCAGCTGCTAACTCTGCCCCTTTGGATCCTGTATCTCCAGGGCCCTCACCGCTGGCCCTATGGCCGACTGACCTGCGAGCTGGTTGGCTACGTGTTTTATGGGAACGTCTATGCCAGCGTTATGTTCCTTTGCCTGATCGCTATGGATCGCTTTCTGGCTATTGTCTATCCACTCAGCAGCCGCAGGGTACGGACAGTAAAGGTTTCAGCTCTGTTGGGCATAGCTGTGTGGATCCTAACCTTTCTGTTCTGCCTGAGTGGGCTGCTGCCATCTGTGTTTGACTCTGACCGGCTGTTGTGTCTGGAAAAGTATCCAGTCAGCCCCAGATATGCTCACTTTAAGATCATTACTGCCGTTCTGGGCTTTCTACTGCCATGTGCTATTCTAGGGTAAGTTAGCTCCATGAATCAAAATGTACATTGTTTAATCTCAGTACTTAATTTATGTCCTAAATTAATTAGTAGAAGACTAAACCAAACAATATTTTTTTTCTTCATCTGATTTTTTTATTTTGATGCTGAAGTTTGTTTTTGTCCTAGTAGAACTGTGGAGTAGTTATGACCAGCAGGTATCTTACCTGCAGCAGACAGAAGCCAGAATAATCTCACTTTTGATAGTAATGGTAACATTTTCACGAGTGACCCTTATTTCTTGGCACATAGGCCACTTCTGGTTCTGTGCAATCTGCATAAAAAGTCCCAGTCAAACAGCTCCCGGCCATCTTCCATGAGTTCAATACTGTCAGAGTGAAGCTAAAAGCAAAATAAAGTTAACATTCATTTAGATTCAAGCTAATTGCTAATTAAATTAATTCTAGAGTCTAACACCTACTGAGAGTCAAGCTTGCACCTGAATAACCCATAAACACCAACTACAGAATCATATAACTACTCAAGAGTCCAATTTACACCTGGTCAGTCAAGCTAATAGCTACTTAAATTAAGCTCAATATAAAAGGAATATGATCTTATTTACATGTTCAGTAATATGTTTTCACTTTGTACTATTCCAACAATAGAAATCTATTTAGCTAAATCCACCAGAAAATGTTTCTCTTCCATTGAACAACAGGTTTTTCCCTGTAAAACATTTTTTTCTTCCCAAGGTAAGCAATACAATGTCTTTGTATATGACTCAGTGTTGTTGCTGGCAGATCCTCATGAGTCTGCAGCAAGTTATCTAAAATCAGGATAAAGTACATTTAGTCAAGTAGGGGAAGTTGGGACAATTAAAGGCAGGCTAGTATAGCACATTTCAGTAACGGCTCAATTGAAAGTGCTGTACATGAAAAAAATGCACCAGAAAAAGACACAGAAAAAAGTACATTGCAGCATGATAAAAAAAATGATTAAAAAATGATTGTAAAACTTAAAAAGCAATTGTTTTAGATGATTGTAATGACTTAAAAAAATAAAACCTCCTCTAAAAAAAGGTAAATCTGCACAACAGATTGTTTTTAAACTCACACAAAAGACAATGATAAGGAATTGAAACAAGCAAAATTAAGCAATCACAAATAAAAAACAGTTTTTTTTTTCATTGAGTCTAGGAGGTTTGCTCTGGGAATTTGAACAATCAAGTTCCTGTCTGATCTAAATCTCCTCTTCCACCCCCAGGTACACCTCAGCACATATTGGGGTGACACTACGGCGGTCTCCATCTCTCACCAACCATGAGCGCTATAAAATTGTAGGGATCTTGGTTGTGATTACTTTCAACTTCATAGTTGTCTTTGGACCCTACCACCTGGTGGGGGGTTACAGGTTTGTTTCCCTGCTGCGGACAGATGACCCGTGCCCATTTGAGCAGTCGATTTTCTATGTCTACCGCCTCTGCTATGGCCTGACCAGCCTCAACACTCTCCTGGATCCCCTTTTTTACATCTTCCTCTGCCCTGATGCTCGGCTAGAGCTGCAGAGATCCCTGCCCTGTCTGAGAAGAGGACAAACCAACCATAAGAACATGATGATGAGTACCAGACTCCACCTGGACAAACTGAAGGAGAACGAAAACAGACATAACTTTGTAACTATTTAAACTGGACAGACCATGTATAATCAGATTTTAAATCAAGGCGATGGCGCCATCTGCTGGATAATTGCATTTTCTTGCTCTTTTAATTTGAAAAACAATTTCTGTTTCCTTAAAAAAAACATAAATAAGCACCTGTAAAGTACAAAAAATGTGTGAAAGGATGTTTAACTTTGTTCCTCTAATACAGTTATTGAATGCAATACGGGGTTTTCTGTCATGAGTGACCTCTTAAGGGTCACATCACTGCACTTTAGTTTGAGCTTGACCAGTCCACTCCAAAACATTCTTATAGATGGATTAGAAGTGGACTTACTGGTTTTTATTTATTGTTCTGTTACAAAAAATAAGCACCTAAGTTTAAAGTCAGAAAGTGATGATCTTGACATTCTCCTTAGGAATTTTCTTCAGTTGAGCCGAATTCAAGACCCTATCACTTTCGCCAAATTGTCCTGAAGTAGAAAAGGTGACATATCATCATACTTCAACCAAAATCTTTTAATATTGGCATAGTGTTCCTTTTCTCAAGTGCTGTTTGTTTTACAGTTTACAAAAAACAAAAATATTTTATTATTATTATTATTATTCAATAACTCTCCATGATTATCAAGAAGTTTAGGAAACGTTTCTTCTCAGGCTCTCTTTTTAATTATTCAATCACGAACCTCAACCGATTAACTGAGGCAGAGCTGAAGATGTTCCGGGTTCTTTTGTGACGTCCTGGACGAGTCACCGCTATGTTCTTGGAGTAAGCTGGAAACTTAAGAGAAGTTTAATAGCTTTTCCATGTTTTCTTTTTATTTTGTGGATATTTGCTCCCACTGTGGTGCACTGGAACCCCAGACTTCGGAAATGGCTCTGTAATGTTTCTAGAATGATGCATATTTTGAGCTTTCTTTATCTGGTTTTAAATGTATCTAAATCAATGCATAAAGTTCTGCTCTTTGAGATCACTAAGACAACTTCATGTATTCAAACAGACTCCATGTCAAGGGGTTTCTTAATTCTACAGATCTGCATGCAATAACACATGGATAGAAGTTAAAGTTAACTTATGTTTGATTGATATTTTGTAGGATTAAGAGGGTACATAAGAGAAGGACTGAACTATAAAGTCAGAATCCATAGCAAATGGTAAATAAATACTTACCTGTGTTTTTTTTTTTTTTTTGGTTGAATGGAAAAAGATATTTTCATTAAATATTTTGTTGCTAGTTCTAAATTGTACTTGTTGGTTGTTACTTGTTTGTAAAGAGTGTCCAAAAATGACTGTGCAAACACAACTGAGACTGCTGACATGATGCTTTTACAGCAGCGTGGCAATGAGTGGTGCTTTCCTGCAGCATCCTCCACTCTGCTTTACAGACATTTGTTTTCTCCATTATTTTTCTCTTCCACATTAAAGAACATCAATTTAGGGTTAACTATTTAAGGCTCTTGCATGAGGACTCTTATCACTCTGGGTCCATAAGCAAGATCCTATATACTATTAAGGGATATTCCTCTTTCTCTAAATAAAATGAATTATTTGTGGTTGGATTTTGTGTGTTGTATGTTACATTAAAAGAAATCCACGCTTCACTTTTTTTAATACAGATTTATACATGTAATTAGCAACAATGAAAAATATGAACATACCATGAATGAGAATAAGTTTTACATTACAAATCATTACAAGGAGGTCAACATACTTAATAAAAAATGCAAAAGAGGTTGGTTGCATGAGCACTTTCAGGCACTGATAAGATGTATGATGGGACAACATAGGCGTCTTTGACCTGTGGCTGTCTGTACTGTATATATTAGAAAAACAAGAAAAATTGTAACTTAAACAAAACACAAACCAGATCCAAAATAAAACGAGGAAATTATACAATTGTGTTTTTTTCTTTCCTTAAGCACAATGAGAGTGAAAGGTTTAAGTGCATTCATGTAGACAACTACACCTTTCCAATGGTGAAGTTTGTCATGGTCTTGGTCCTGCTGTTCTTTACTTTGCTCCTTGTTTTCTAGATTTATTGGTTTAATTCCAGTTTTGTTGTATTTCTAGATTTATATTAGTTCTCATGTTTTTCTGTTGTCCTCTTTTGCCCTCTTGTGTGTGTGTGTTCCTTTCACCTAGGCTCCCTCATTGTCTCCTTTCACACCTGCTCCTTGTCTGCTCGTTAGCCCTCCCTTTGTCTCTCTCTGCTATATATGCTCTCCCTCTGCTCTCACTCTTTGTTGGTTCCTTGTCTTTGCTGTCCTCCCATGCTGTTGTCCACGTTCCTCGTCTCTCCCTGGCTCCTCGTGTTTGGTTTCCCCAAGATGTCTCCATAGTTCTGGTTTGCTTTGATTATTAGTTGGATTTTTGCATTCCTGCCTTTGCTACTGTTTTTGCCCCCATTAAACTCCCAAGAAATCTCCTCAGCCTCTCTGCCGCATTTGGGTCCTCTACCACAACCAAACCCTGACAAAGTTGTCCAGCAACCAAAAACACAATTAAAGGCGCAATTAAGTTTGAACAAATCAAAATCTTTTTTTTTTCCTTTTTTTTTTTATTATTCACTAAAGAATATTAAAAAAAGAATATTCACTAAATAATATTTATATTTGATAGGAGCCATTAAGGATGGTTATAAACCTTAACTAAAGCAGTAACAATGAAGTTTGATAAAATAAAAACATGGCGCAATTCAAAAAGCTTTCTGTTAAATACAGTACATCACAGTATTTTCAACATTACATGGACCACAACCTTTCTACTGTAAATTAGGATTTACTGGAATAATGCAAAATGGAACAATGCAGGCAGAAAACCCAAATAAAGGAAGGTAACATGTACCTCTAGGCTCATTTTTATGCTCATAATGATAAACAAGTACAGATTTGGACTCCGGTTTTCAATGGGTCTAGACATCCTGTTTAAAATGAGTGTTTTTGCTATTTGTAAAACCAAGTCTTCAGTTTCAGAGACTTTTTAATCTGCTGTGTGATTCAGAGGTCAGGGGTCTAACAATCATTTTTATTAAAGGAAATTGCAATAACTTTGGATAAGATAGGTAAAAAAAAAGCAAAGCAAAATTTTGAAAACTTTGAAGAACTGCCGTTTAAAAAAGTTTTCTTTGACAGCACATGAACAACTCTAAAAAGATTTAATTCGGGGTTTTTTTTGTGATGAAAAAAAACACATTAAAGAATATGAAACCTAGAAGGAAAATCCTACTTTTGAAACCTTGTTCTTAGCAGTAAGTTGGAACTTCTTTCAAAATACCAAGAAGTGTAATTATCCGACACTTGATCACTTATGTCTGCTTCTGTCTCCTTTTTTTTCTTCATGTATTTAGCTTTATTTAACAAGGTTAGTCCCTGATTGATCTATTATCTATTTTGCAAGATAAACCTGGCCAAAAGAACATCAGCATATGAGTTACAACATATAAAACACATTAAAAAAAGTATAGAAAAAATATAGAAAAAATTAAAAACGTTAAAACTCTGCAGAAACTATCACCTAAAACATTTATGTAAATCCCTTTATTGTTCCATGATGGGGAAATTTGTTCTCTGCATTTGACCCATCCCCTTGATTGCAGGGATTTCTGTGTCACAAGGGCTTGAATGTGGAGCTCATCCAGGAGGAGCATGTCTTGCAAGTCAATGACTTGATGCAATCAACTGTTTTTTCTTTGGCAGAACTTTTAATCAATCTGACTGTATTGTCTCTACAAAGCGCCGTCAGATGACTTGTGTTGTGAATTGGCACTAAATAACTAAACTGAATTAATGCTGATTGTTTCCTCAAAGCAGAAAAAAAAACCGAATAAAAAGGGGCAGTAAAGCAGGGGAAGCATCAGCTTTTAAATGTGATTAAAAAAAAGCAAACTGTACAGAGCTGAGTGGTTTCTCTGGCTGGTTAAAGCTGAAGTCTGTAAGTTTTTAAAAATCACTTTTTTGACATATTGGCTAAAACTGTCCCTATGCCCAGACAGCAGTACATGTGATATGTAATCTGTGAAAAAAACTGCTTCAATTGGTCCCGCATACTGCCTGTATTTCAATCTGGAAAGAATATTTCGGGATGAGTTAAAACAACCAATCACAGCCAGATGAGCGTCTGATGGAGTGTCAATCACAGATCACACACGCTGAATCCCGAACCCCCCCCCTCTCCCTCTCACCGCTTAACCTGCCGCTGCCGCCCGGCTGCCGCAGTCAGGAGGACGCGCGTGGAAGTCATGGCAGAGCGACAGCCACCAGCGAAAGAGAAACTGCCCTTACTGCCCCTGCCGACAACTGCTTACACGGCAAACTTCGGTATAACCAGCATCTTATATCTAGCTGCTTGGAGGTGAGTGTTATCGCTCTTACCGGTTCACACTCCATGCCGCGTACGCTGCTTGGGCGCTTCTGGTCGCATGCGGTAGCCGCGCAGATGCTGTGAGAGGGGTGGAGCTTGGAGGTGGGGCATGAGTGAAGCAGAGAGGGTGGGGGAGTGGCGTGAAACCTGTTTTTCTTCAAATTTTCAGTCGAAGTCTGCTCTCTTCTCAATGTTACAGACTGCAGCTTTAAAGACCAGAGCCTACTTTTCATCTTTAACCACACTGGTGATCTCAGCCGAGTTGGTGAGACTGTCATTCTCGTCCAAATCATCTGCTTTTTCATTCGGAATTGAGTATTTCACCTTCTTGGGTAATTCATAGTTGCTTATGGTGCTGCGAGCTGTGCTGCGTCGCCGAGCCAATTCAGCCAGATCCTCAGCTAGAACGCTCTCCATGACTTCCCCCAAGGAATGCCTGATTTTACGACACAGGTCAGGACAGCTGAAGACATACAGGACAGGATTGAGGACACTGTTGAGAAACCCAATCGTTGCTGAAATTGGAAGACTTTTAGTTGCAAATTTCTGTGCAGGACTTCCGCTGGAAGCCATCACCTCTATGATGATGAAAATATGGTATGGTGCCCAGCAGATGATAAAGGTCACCACTACTGCAATGACGAGTCGAACAAATCGAAAAGGCCTCCGACAGCCTCTTCGTGCTAAACTTAAATTCACAAATATGTAGCTGAGAATGATAACTGCAAGAGGGATCAGGAAAGCAAAAAAGAGTTTCATAAAAGCCAAACCTTCTTTGCGTTGCCGACATAGGGCTTCCAAATCATAGGGTTCGCTAGGGAGATACAGCGAGTATCTGTAGTAGCACAAAATCTTGCCGCTTGGAAGGGGAATAGCATCACGGAACATGTAAAAGGGGATGCAGCAGATAACAGCGAAGGCCCAAATCAGACAACAAATCTTCCACACAAGCTGTATGCTTCGGTAGTTCTGAGCCCACACAGGTTGCACCACCACAAGGCAGCGGTCCAGAGAAATGGCTGCCAGAAGAAAGCCGCTGACGAACATGTTGAGGAAAAAGACGGCGGAATGGATGCGACAGAAGGTAGAGCCCAAAGTCCAGGTGTTACCTCGAGCAAAGTAGGCCGTAAAGACTGGCAGTGAGGATGTGGCCAGCATGTCTGACATTGCTAGGTTCAGGATCCAGATGCTGATGATGGAGCGTTTGACACGAAAGCCCACCACTACCAGGATGATCAGGTTTTCTATGATGCCTATAGTAGACACAATTCCATGGAGGGAGATGGTAAAAATGCTCAATGAGCTCAGCTTTCCTGGAGCAAATGTTTGGTTTGGTGCTGCTGATGTGTTGGAGTGAAAGCAGTCCATGCCCATCTTGGAGGGAAGAGATGCTTTTGAATTTCAGAGTAATCTAAAACAAAATAAAAACACAAATAATTAATGAAAATTAATTGCATGGCTACAATAATAGAAACCATGACAAAAAGAGGTTTGCATTACTTATGAATATAATGTAGATAGATTTACATACTTAAAAGTAAGTTTACATTGATGTGATTGAAATGTAAATCTTCTACCTAACGTCTCATTCCTATTTGCAATCTGTTTACGAGAATTACCAGTTTAAACAAGAAAACCCAAACATCTCTCTCCTAGCAAACTCTCTAGTGTCAGGAGGATCCCAAGGCTTTCCAAGGCAACAAGGGATATACTCCCTCCGGCAGGTTCTGAAACTTTCCTGCAATCTTGGGAAGGCCATGAGAAAACCTCCAGTTGTCCCTCAGATCAACACCTCATCCCCTTAATTGGCTCATTTTGATGCAAAGAAGCAGTGGCTCTACTATGAACCCCCTCACCCATCTCTAAACCCGGGCCAAACTGGTTGCATCCAACGTTTTTTCATGTCACACTACGTATGGAGGGTTCCAGAAACGCAGGGTGAGCAGATCCCAGTAGGTGCTGATTTTTTTTTTTTTACTTCTGCCCCACAAATGAAAACAGTTTCCCAAATCTGACTGATACAGATGAAAAGGAAAATACATAAACAACCAGCACAGCTACAAAGCAAAGCCCCCTTTCATGATCAGATTGCTTTACAGCATCTCAAAGCAGAACAAATAGATGATTTGAATAGGCCTAGATTAAAAATATAATTGAAACTAGTTTTAAATAAGAGGAAAGGCTGTGGTATGGTTGTATAAGTACTGATTGAGGCAGTGAGAGGTGATTCAGACAGCTTTCTGCAAAATTTGCAGAAAGCTTTCCTGTCCTTATGAACACCTATCATGGGTAAAGTTTTCTGTTTCAAAAATGTTTAATTCATCGTTTATACCCGAGTCTATCCTGTGCGACTCAAAACATGACGGTTTTCTCTTACCTTTGACAGATTTTAGTTTGTATTTTCTCCTCAAACTGTCATGTTGGTTTGTAGTTTTTTGACCCACGTGCAGAATCACATGGAGACCCAGTAAATTTTTACGTTTTATTCACAAAAGCAACAAGAATCTGGGAGCAGAGAACTAGAGGAAGTCAGCTTAACTTTCTGGCTGATCTGAGGGAAAGCAGGGAAAGGTAGCATGGATCTGTAGGAGTTTGATTCAGAGGGCTTTGTACTTTACAGACTGTACCCTAGAGATCCAGGAGAATGTGAGTGAGATCTCAGAAAGCTGGTTCTTGCAAGAAACATCGTGCTGGACAGCAGGTAGGCAGGTGATGAAAACAGAGACCTGCTGCACACATGAGGTAAGACCTTTCCATCAAGATCGGAGATGAACTCAGGTTCACTGGTTGTTTAAAACAATAATACCTTCAAAGAGATTCACAACAATAACATTTCCAAAAGAAAGATATTCCTGTTTTAGGTCTTTAGGAATACCATCAGGGATAATCATCCAGCAAAGAGAGATGATCCTTCCCCTCAAGATTCACAAGCTAGTCATTGACAAATGTTCTCAAGTGTGCAGCAACATGGGTCGGCCAAGCCACCAGCAAAGATCCTCTCTGTAACAGGAAGCTCACTGACACCAGTAAAAAAAAGAAAACCCTAGAGACCCTAACACAAACTGGATGTGTGTTAAATTGTAACAGCATCTCTTTTCTTGTCAGACCATGAAATTTCAGCTCAATTTCTGCATAGTCACACTAAAATAGACCTGGGGTCTATCTCAGTCGGAGCTACGCAAGCCCCCTACAGAAAAACACATCAGGTGTTATCATTCACATTGACACTCAGTGAGTGCTTAATGACATAACCTCGTCCGACACGAGTTTCTGTCAAATCAGCTGCAACATTGCATTTGTTTTGTTCAGGGCAGAGTCCAGCTACATATTTCAGATGCTTTACAGAGGCATCTTGTTCTTATGATCATGAGTTAATACCACAGGTAAGAGTGAGAATGTACACAGAGTGGTAAATCTTCTCTTTGGTCAGTCTTTTTCTTTTACACTGGGACCAGTAGGAGCAGCGGCAGCACTGCTGTTTCCCACAATTATTTGTAAAGCAAACATGAAAGCACTTAAACTGCTTGGGGAAAATACTTGCTTCCAATCAAGACGGAGCATTCACTTTTTATGTGGCTGGCCTTAGACTTTTCTGGGTTGTAAAACAATCTGGAAGAAAATGTCCCAATCTTTTCAACATCACTCGTTCAGTTCAGTTTGTCTTCTTAGAATAAATGGGTTAACAAAGGCAGTTTATGGCTGACTCAATGACTAAAAGGTGCCGGAGTCCTGTGGGTTCAAAGCAAACCGTTCACCACCATCTTTCACACTTGGTGGATGAGTTTTTTTCTATTATGTTGACATGCTGTGCATAATAAGAAAAAAAAAACACTAGTTTGATAATGTGTAGCACTTAGGTTTAGTTTTAGCACATTATTAATCGGGGACTGTTCCCATTGAATCTGTTCATGAAGATGAGAGACAATAAGTGAAAAACTAATGGGTTAAATTCTAAGCTCCACTACTACCTTAACTTCAGCCGGCTCCTTTGTTTCCTGTCTTTCAATGCTGGCCAGAACGATTAATCCAGGTGTGTCTGACCAATGTCGTCATGGTTACTGAGGTCAGACACACCTGGATTAATTAGTTTATCCAGCAATGAAAGACAGGACACAAATTAGCAGGCTTAAGACCAGGAAGTTGCGGAGTTGTGCATAGAGCCATCTTACTAGGGTTTTGATTTTAGCCAGTCATTGTGACAAAATAAATAGTAGCAGACCAAGTGAGAAACAACTTATGCTTCTATGAAAAAAAAAAAAAAAAAGGTTTTGTTTACCCTACTAGTAACTTCAGCTATTCGAGATCAGTTGATATACAAAACCACAGACACAGTTTCTGGAAGTTTTTTAGGGACTGAAAAGATTAATTTTATAGGTTTATGTTAAAAAAAAAATATATATATATATATATGGGAAAAGTTTTTCTTCTGACCAAATAAAGTATCTTGTAACAACAGTACAAGAATTAGATGTTACAAGACAACAGCTACTGATTACTTAAGTAGTGGTTTTAGCAATTACTTTTTTGGTCTTGAGCAATCTGTGGGATGACTATTTTTACTTTTAAATGAGTAAAAAAAATATATATATATATATATTAATGTGCTTCTCATCAATGCATTTCCTGAAAATGTTTTCTACACTCAGCTCATCAGCATGTGCCACAGAAACCTATTAAATTAAATTTGCTGTTATATGCTTGCCTGAGAGTGAATACAGGACACAA